GAACACCCGTCGCCCCGACGCGGCGGTCTTTTATTAATTTTGCGCCGCGTGCATCGATAAACGATGCCGATTTTCCTCCACGGGAACCCTTTGCTCGAATTTGCAAATTATTTTTACATAGTTCACGCATGATCGCGATTTCAATTCCGAGGCATTTTCCGCCATTGTTCAAATTTAGATACGTCGCGACTGATTGCTCGATTTTCCTTTTCTTTTTTTTTACATATTTTATGCGTGATCCGGATTTAAATTCCGAGTCATTTGCCGCCATTGTTCAAATTTTGATACGTCTCCGACTGAGATTGCTTGATACCTTCGAAAGTAATTTTGGTAATTTTTGTTTAAACTGTTCTCGCGATTGGTTGGACAACGCGTGGAAAGCTCCGGTGTTGATTATATTTTTGGCGCGACAGAGGACGAGAAGGAGCGATTGGTGCGCGCGTGGATCTCGTCGCATGGACGCAGCGTTCACCTGGAGATCGGCGGGACAGAGGTATTCGCAGCGTCGACCGACATTCACGAGAACCGCTGGTACCACCTGTGTCAGAGCTGGGAGAACCAGGCCGGTCGTTACGCTTTGTGGGTGAACGGGCACCTCTGGGTTCAAGGTCGCTCCGAAGAGGTTCGTAAGCATCCGAGATCCTCGCCGAAGATCCGGCGAACCGCGCGAAAATAGCTCGGGAATCGCTCAGCACTTTCCTCGAATTGAATACCCTTTGATCGAGGGATCACCGAAGACCGGGTCGAAAGTGACCCACGCCCTATTCCTTTTCACTTTATCATTGTAAACAGCCCACCATTAATTAACTCCACTATTCGTATTTTCGATTGCAAAACTATTTTTGCCGGACGTCTCATGAAAGAGACAATTGAACAGATCGTCCTGATAGATCACTGATCATTTTCAGACGATTGGTCACGTGATCCCGAGCAAGGGGGACATAGTGGTGGGCCAGGAGTACACGGATTTCGACAAGGGCCTGGAGGACGGGATCGAGGGATCGGTCCTGGGGTTCAACCTGCTCCTAAAATCAGCCTTCGATCCCCAGAACGATGATCCAAGGGATCTGAGATTTAGTCACGTGCCGATCGAGACGTTCCCGCGGATTCCGCCGAAACCGATGCAACGGAGCATTATCTACGGGACGAGGACGATCTACAGGATCCTGCCGATTAGGATCATCAGATCGATCGATGACCCACTCGGATTTAGGAATCCATCGCAAGAGATTAGAATCGCGAATATGGGCCCGCACGGTTGGCCCAGCCAGCGGAAGCAGCCCTTGGGCCAGCAGCTGGTGCAGTTGACCTACGTCCGCTGCGAGATCGGTCGTGGCAGTCCGTTCATCGGAGGATCGTCGATGCTGATCTCCTGGACCAGGACCCCGGTCCGCATTTTCGGCGGGGCGATCGTGAAAAACGTTCGCAACAAGTGCGGTGACTTTTGAGCACACGGAGAGCCACGACATTGAAACATTGATTTTTTGACGAACACTCTGGCGTCTGTTTGTGGGCCACGTTGGGAGAAGAAGAGTTTTTTGGGAGACGGAAACTTTGGGCCGTGGAAAAATAAATGTTTGAAATGGTACATAGGCTGTAAATATTTTTGTTTTCTCGTGTGATACTGAATTTGGTAAATACAGTTTTTTTTTTATAAATAGTAGTTACATATGGAAATAGCATCTCAAATATGTTTGATAAATATATTATTATTTTTGAAATATATTTAAATATATTATTTTAAATATATTATTATTTTTTAAATATATTTAAATATATTATTTTAAATATATTATTATTTCTTTAATATATTTAAATATATTATTATTTTTTAAATATATTTAAATATATTATTTTAAATATATTATTATTTCTTTAATATATTTAAATATATTATTATTTTTTAAATATATTTAAATATATTATTTTAAGTATATTTCGAATATATATGTAACTGCTATTTCAGCAAAATAATTAATTTCCCAAATTCTATATTGCATGAGATTATGAAAATATTTCTAGCTTATTTACCATCTCAAAACTCTGTCTTCCCCGGCCCTGCTAAAAATATACCTAACACTAACGATAGCTGATGAGCAAAAACAACGTAGCAGTAATAATTAACATAGCTTAGAAATTTAAAATCTATTAATCTACGATACGCTTTTTTGTCGCAAAGACAGCAAGATGGATTTAGTTTCGTGCATTTAAGTCGACATTTAACATGTGAAATTCCATTGTAAATTTTATTTAGAATTATAGGGATAGCTAGAAGTCATAAAGTTAATGTGATATTTCAGACGAAAATGTTTTCGAAATTCGAAGCAGAGGCGCGGCTTGAAATCCGTGCGATGCGGACGAGACGACGTCGCGATCCGCGTTTCGCAACAGTTCTCACGAGCCCGCATCCGCGAATCCATTTAGGGCGGCGTTTCTTTCAACGTCATCGGCTCGCGATTTCGAGAGAACTGCGGAGGCCATTTTTCTCTCGCGCGGGAATTACGAAACTCGACGGCCGTTCTGCGGTCCCCAGCAATTGTCCGCGTTTTAACAAGACTTTTTTCATCGTTGTATGCCGCGCGTGTGCATTATTCTGTTGTATTGTACAGCCGCTCGCAAAAGAGACGTTATTTATTCACCGTAGACATGTAGACTGAACGACTGAAGCTTTCGGGCCGCGTTTCGTACACGATGCTTGGGCACCGATCCCGAAATGTGCGAGTCTCGTATTTTATTTCTGTGTGGATCAATAAAATCGAAAATCCTATGAACCGTTACTTATCAAACACCTTGTACATTTTACATATTTTACGTGCTAAGCAATTCGATGAATTTGATTGTCTTTCGTTTCATCTGTATTTATTATAAAAATATAATAAATATATATTTAAATGTATATAATATATGAAGATATCATGCTCCAGAATCCACTAATATTTCAATCTTATTTCAGTCTTATTTCAATTTTATTTCCGTGTGGATCAATAAAATCGAAGATCTTCAGTCGGATGCTGAACCGTTACTTATCAAACACCCCGTACATTTTACATATTTTACGTACTAAGCAATCCTGTGAATTTGATTATCTTTCGTTTGATCTGTATTTACTATAAAAAATAGAATATATAAATACATATTTAAATGTATATAATATATGAAAATATCATGCTCCAGAACCCACTAATATTTCACAATCTCCATTTTATCTTCAATNTGGAAATAGCATCTCAAATATGTTTGATAAATATATTATTATTTTTTAAATATATTTAAATATATTATTTTAAATATATTATTATTTCTTTAATATATTTAAATATATTATTATTTTTTAAATATATTTAAATATATTATTTTAAGTATATTTCGAATATATATGTAACTGCTATTTCAGCAAAATAATTAATTTCCCAAATTCTATATTGCATGAGATTATGAAAATATTTCTAGCTTATTTACCATCTCAAAACTCTGTCTTCCCCGGCCCTGCTAAAAATATACCTAACACTAACGATAGCTGATGAGCAAAAACAACGTAGCAGTAATAATTAACATAGCTTAGAAATTTAAAATCTATTAATCTACGATACGCTTTTTTGTCGCAAAGACAGCAAGATGGATTTAGTTTCGTGCATTTAAGTCGACATTTAACATGTGAAATTCCATTGTAAATTTTATTTAGAATTATAGGGATAGCTAGAAGTCATAAAGTTAATGTGATATTTCAGACGAAAATGTTTTCGAAATTCGAAGCAGAGGCGCGGCTTGAAATCCGTGCGATGCGGACGAGACGACGTCGCGATCCGCGTTTCGCAACAGTTCTCACGAGCCCGCATCCGCGAATCCATTTAGGGCGGCGTTTCTTTCAACGTCATCGGCTCGCGATTTCGAGAGAACTGCGGAGGCCATTTTTCTCTCGCGCGGGAATTACGAAACTCGACGGCCGTTCTGCGGTCCCCAGCAATTGTCCGCGTTTTAACAAGACTTTTTTCATCGTTGTATGCCGCGCGTGTGCATTATTCTGTTGTATTGTACAGCCGCTCGCAAAAGAGACGTTATTTATTCACCGTAGACATGTAGACTGAACGACTGAAGCTTTCGGGCCGCGTTTCGTACACGATGCTTGGGCACCGATCCCGAAATGTGCGAGTCTCGTATTTTATTTCTGTGTGGATCAATAAAATCGAAAATCCTATGAACCGTTACTTATCAAACACCTTGTACATTTTACATATTTTACGTGCTAAGCAATTCGATGAATTTGATTGTCTTTCGTTTCATCTGTATTTATTATAAAAATATAATAAATATATATTTAAATGTATATAATATATGAAGATATCATGCTCCAGAATCCACTAATATTTCAATCTTATTTCAGTCTTATTTCAATTTTATTTCCGTGTGGATCAATAAAATCGAAGATCTTCAGTCGGATGCTGAACCGTTACTTATCAAACACCCCGTACATTTTACATATTTTACGTACTAAGCAATCCTGTGAATTTGATTATCTTTCGTTTGATCTGTATTTACTATAAAAAATAGAATATATAAATACATATTTAAATGTATATAATATATGAAAATATCATGCTCCAGAACCCACTAATATTTCACAATCTCCATTTTATCTTCAATTATTGTACAAATCTTGTTAACGATTCTTGAATTATCAGTCCCGATTGTTCGATCGCATGTATTCGTAAGTTTAATTATCTGTACAATTTTATTCACGAATGAAATTTATTTTCAAGTTATAAAAGTTTTCAAGAATCGACAGAAAATAAACGGCAACGATTGATTTAAAATTCTTCAAGCTGTTCCGACTAACTTCACAATTACAAGATCGGCGAATTAAAAGCCAGCAAGACCATCAAGACCATCATTTTATTAATTACCCCTCCCGGACCGCTAATTATGAGACGCCCTGTCGACGCACATGTTGGAATCATAACACCCACACTTACGGGCGCGTTCGCATTAAAGGCTAATCACGTTCTTGTCTAATGACATCGCAGTCCTCGGGAATTAACGATCGGCGAAGGCGTAGTCGTTCGATAACAATGAAACGCCCTGTACCACAAAAGGCCGGGCAGGAAAGATTGTAATTACCACGCGATCCGGGCCAATCACGACTAAATCGGATATTTAATCTGCCACGAGCTGGCATTACCGGAGTCCCCGATACCGGGGCTCGGCTAATGATCGTTACGTGGATCACGGGCGTTTCGAGAAACTCGATCGCGGCCGCGATAGATCACGTAAGTAGCGCGAACCAGCTGGAACGCGATCATTTGCGACACATCGCGTAATTTTTATTTCGCCGGCTTTCTCGTTTCGGTAACAGGACCTCCGATCCCATGGATCGTTCGCCCGGGGGCGATCGACAGAGATCGCCGGGGGGGGGGGGGGAGCCGGAACGTCGCCCGGTTTCAACCCAGATACGGTGTCGTTCGCGTCGCGATCAATACTCCCGGAGACTTCTTGCGCGTCTATCCGCCATAATTATTGTGCAATCTGTTCGCTGTCCATTATGTAAAATGGCCGCGACGTCTCCCGGCAACTTCCGCCTCCCGGAATATCGCCGCTTAATTGATCTTCGATGGCTCCTAAACCCGGCATTGTTCTCGTTCAATCCGCTTTGCATGCGCCGCAAGAAGTCCGATTTAAACGGGCACTGTACATTCTCGCAGCAACGGAGACGCCCACCTCGAAGGTTCGACCGTTTCTCAAGAAGCTATTACCACGTTTTTACGAACTTTGTGCAGATTTTATAACAAAGCCCGAGTGAACAAAAGTATTTGTCGAACAATATTCTGCGGAAACTTCTCGGAAGATGGAATAATCGATGGGAAAAGAATTTCGAGGTCCGCCATCTTGGAAGAGCTACCGCAGCGCCAGCTATCGACGGATAGATCATTTTACACAATTTTGCGGGTGAACGTTACTGTTTAAGATGACAATGACGCTTAGGATTGTAGACTGCGAGCGTTTAAATCTAATTTCTGAAGTTGCGGTCGACAGAAGTCGAAGCCTGCGACGTTAAAATGCGAGGAGAAGTATGATGCCCTAAAAAGGGCTACGGCCGTTCAGCCGGTGTTTCGGTGAAAGTGAAAGTGGATCGCGCCGGTGAAACCGAAATTCGCTGTCGTTGCACCGCCAGGCGGCCTCTATAGATCTCTAGATGGTAGATAAGAGCCACGGCACTGTCCTAGAACGAGACCGAGAACTGAATTTCAGGGTCGTTATTGGCCGACCCGGCCGAGAATCTCGCGGCGGTCGAGCGTCGAACACGCGACACGTAACCAATCGCGTTGAGAAACGTTCACGAACCGGTGAAAGTTTCGGGACGGGCAGACATCCTGGTCGAACGGCCGCTGGACCCGAGAGCCGAACAACGGATGTGGCATTCCCGGGTTGCGCAACGACGCATCTGTTACATGCGTGCCCGGCAGCGCAGCGGTGTAACAGGACCGGCCCCCGTGGTAAGCCAAACAAAGACCGCTCTTGGCTAATCCATTTGCGGACCCGGGCTCGTGTAAGGAAAGATCTGGTGAAAACTTGGAACACGGTTTTTCCGCGATCGTAGATTAACCGAGGAAATTGTACAGGACCATTCAAAAGCGCTGCACCGAAACGAAATTTTATAAACGTTGTTGACGAAGTTAAGAAGTTCGTTTTCACTCGAAAAGATACTGCATCGGAGGTGGACATTTAACGTCCAGACTACAGGGTGCTACAGAAGTGACTTACGATTTTAACAAATAAATCAGGAATTATTTATTGCAGGATATATAGATTCAAAAGTTGATTGAACATTGGGTGAAAATAATGCGAAATTAGAAATTTAATTTTGAGACTACAGGGTGTTCCAGAAGTGGCTTACTATACACAAAATGTTACAGAAACTATTTCCTGTAAGATATACAGGCTTAGAAGATGATTACAGATGCGGCGAAAATAATGTGAAGTTGGAAATTTAATTTTGAGACTACAGGGTACTCCAGAAATGGCTGACAATGTATAAAAAGTTACAAGAATTATTTTCTGTAAGACATACAGTTTTAAAATTTGATTAAACATCAGACAAAAATAATATAAAGTTTGAAATTCAATTTTGAGACTACAGGGTGCTCCAGAAATGGCTCACAATGTAACAAATGTTACAGGAATTATTTTCTGTAAGACATACAGTTCTATAATTTGATTAAACATCAGGCAAAAATAATATAAAGTATGGAATTTAATGTTGAGACCTACAGAGTGCTACAAAAGTGACTGTCCATATACAGGGTATTACAGAAATGATATTTCGGTACACTGAAAATATATGACCGAAATGATACACTGACCCCAATGCCCTCGATATAATTAAAAACCAATACAGCCAGGCCATCAGAATTAAAATCTGAACCGTTGGAACAACCTGTTGAGGTTGTTTTGCGGATAACGAGCGCAGCGCTTCTGCAGTTTCCTCATGGAACAGAATTTTCTCTATCTGCCAATGATAATAGAAAACCGGTATGTTACATGATCGAGGACACCCGGCGGACAGAATCGCATCGGAACCGGAAGTCGCGACACTCGCGACGCAGAAGAAAGTATCGGCGAGTAAACCGTGGGTGCCTGGAGGGGAGGACCCGGTTCGAAAATATGTTGGCCGAGAGAGAAAAATAATCGGCTCCCTCCTCGGAGAAGGTGCGAACGGAGACGCAGAGAGGCAGGGGCCTTTCTCCCTCTCGGTAGTACTGTTTTTTGTCGCGTCGTCTACCGGCGCCTCCTTTCTCCACCGGAAGGAAGGACCGGCTGGAGAATGAACGCCACGGCGAAAGGAAGACTCACCCTGGAAAATGAAAGTCGATCCGCGTGTACGATCGAACTAGGCTCGCCGCAGAAATGCAACTCCAGGCCGGAATTAATGTCGCTCGCGTTCGTCCTTTCTCGCGGGCCTTTTTTCATTCGCACGATTTCCTACCGTCGTGGCGGAGGAAAACGCGGTTTGAATTCGCGACGGTTTCCCGCCATTAACAATGCCGCGTGGAAATCGTCGCTTTCGAATTCGTTCGGCGTCCACGAAATCTCTACGGCGAGGAAAGTCGCGGTTTCTAAGAGATGACAGATCGCCGATCGCGCCCCGTTTTCTGCCGATTATCGCTGACGAATTCAATCGGCCTGGATCAGGAAGGAAGTCTCGGATCGATAAATCCACGATCGACAAGTTCCTGATCGCGCGGCGAAGTCGCCCAACGTTCGCCCGGGATCAGAGAAAGCTGGAAGGAAGAGGACGCCGATTCTGGACGCGGGTAACGCGGTGTCAGAGGTCAGCCAGCTCGTTCAAGAGGATTAAGCGATCGGATCGAGACGAGCCCTGGATTTCTCCGGTGAGGAGGCTCGACCTCGGAACACTTTGGCCGGACCTCCGAGCGAAATTTTGCAATAGTTCCCCTTTAACAATTACCGGCCGCGGCGAAACAGAGAAATAAAAGAGACGGCCGCCGTGAACTGGACCCTTTGTACTGCATTGGCGCCGGCACAGTGACACACATATCGCCTACCGCAACCCATGGGCGTGATTCACAACTATTGCCGATCTTTTTTCTGCCAATTATCATCTTTCGAACACGCAGGTCTCTGTTCGAGGACTTTTACGCAAGACACGTTCTCGGAAAGAATTCTTTTCGAAGGACAGAAGCAATATCCGCGTCGATCAATGAGATCTCATGCTGGATTTAAGGAACCTGTCAAAATGACGAACACTGGAACTACCGATGTATATTGTTTCATAAAAATCGGAATATTTGACGTACTTAAACTTTGCACGATTTCTATTGCAATATATGCCCGAATAAAGAATAGAGTGTACAAATTTCTCGCAGACACTTTGTTATAATCTCAGGAATGCTAAGAGATGAAATCAGAAACTGGCGTCGAACTGTGTTAATTTACGATTATTCGGATTGCTAAGATACGTATGCGAGTTGTTTATTCAACGTACGTGCCACTTATCGGAATAAATGTTTTATTGTTACTTTCACAAGCGAGATATGAAACAGCTGCTTTTAGTGCTCCGTAAATGTAGCGCCGACGGCGAATAATAAAGCATAAAATAAAATTCAATGTGAAATTTTGTCTGGTATACGGTGAAAATCGTGGAAAGTTCTATTAAACAATGCAGGACGCGAGGATGGTGGTTGCGTGATTTATAAGACAATAAGATAGAGTGTCATAATATAGGAAGACGTTCTGGCGACGCTGATAGCGTGACTGCCTGCGGCGACGTGGCGCAGGGTGGTGTTCGAATCCCTATGGGGCCCTAAGGAGAATTATATGTATGTATATACGGTGAATGATGAAAGACGGTTATTGGACGATGAGAGACGCCTAGGGAATATAGGAAATGGTGCACGATGCCCTGCTGCAATGATATAGAAACCAGTAAAGTATAACTAGAGAGGAAATATAGTGGAACGATGTGGACAGAGGGGGTGGAAAAATAATATGGGAATAGGAAAATCCCAGGGAAAGAAAGTAGTAGGAATTATATGGAATAAAAATCGGAATAAAAGTAAAATAATATGGGAACCAGTGGGGACGATGCTGTACAAATGGGAAAGATCTATGGTAGACTGGAAGATGGAAGAAAAACTGTGTTCGAAAGAGAATCGTGGAAATTCGCAAGTGAAAAAATTCGTATAAAATTGCCAAAAATGTACAGAAATGGATACATAAAGAAATCCAGAAAAATTGGTGAAGAAAAATAATGTGGGAATGAAAAAATCCCAAGGAAAGAAAGTAGAAATTATATGGAATAAAAAAATCAGAATACAAGTAAAATAATATAGGAACCAGTGGGGACGATGCCGTACAAATGGGAAGATTTTAGGAAAAACTGGAAGATGGCAGAAAAATTGTATTCGAAAGAGAATCGTGGAAATTCCCAAGTGAAACATTCGTATTGAATTGCTAAAAATATATAAAAATAGGTCGATATAGAGATTCAGAAGAATTGGTGAAAGAACATTTAAAAACAAAATGCATAAAACTGCATAAAAATGCATTAAAAAGTGCAGAAATTCTTGTTCGAACGGAATCGTAGAAATCGCTAAGAGAAGAATTGCCATAAAATCACTGAAGCAAAGTACAAAAACGACAGATAAAAAAATCAAGAAACTGGTGCAAGACCACTTTTTAAAAAATGTAAAAATTCCCCGGGGCTCGTCCGGCAGAAAATGACTATAAAAACTGGACGAACGCTGAAGAAGCGTTGCGGATCCGATAAAGATGATTAGGGCGCAGTGAAAATCCGCCGGTCTGTCTAAACGAATTTGCTAACGAGCCTGGAGCCTGGGTAGGGAAACGATCGTGCGCTCGACTGACCCGCTAAATCGAGAAACTTATCCATGCACTGGTGATCGACGGGACGCGACGGGATCGTTGGATCATCGGGGGATTGGATCAGCCGTCCGGCATAAAGAGAGAAAGAGAAAAAGGTGAACACGAGACGCGGGTAGGAGGCGTGTGCACACCTCTTGCGAGTTTACCAGGCCTACGCCGTGGAGAACGTGCCGGACAGTTACCTTTCTGTTTCGAGACCGCGAGGATCTACCTTCTCCGGGATCAAGGATTACTCTCGATCCTGTCCCTTCGACTAAGTGAATCTCGCCCTCCGATCTACCGACCGGCGATCGTCCCCGAGGCTCGCCGTTCCACGAGAATCGATTCGAAAATCGCCGCGAGCGTAACCGATCCGAGAAGGATCTAGAGGGATCCAGGGAGGCGATCCAAGCAGGGACAAAAGGGCTCTCCTAGATCGCGGTAAGCTTTCCAGCGACTCTTTTGTCTTGCCACGCGATTCCACCGTTCCGTGGCGGTTGATCTTCGCGGTTCGCTGGGGTCGCTGATGAAAATGGCCGCGGGTTTTGTCTCCGGGAAATGTTTTCCGACCGGGGAAATTGCATTTTCTCTCGCGCCGGGGTGTTCCGGGGCTTTGTCAGGGGTCGGTTTAATTGAATTTTCGAGCGGCGAACTTTTCTATGAAAATAAATCCACGGGAAGATCAATGGTCCGTCGGCCTTCGCAGTGGATGTAATTTAAATTGGCGACGGTTCGAGCCGCTTTGAACGTTCCCCTTCGGAAATATCGATGCTAGGCCCCGGTTAATTGCACGCCGCGTAGTTCCACAGTTACCTTTTACAATTTCGAAAGGGGAAAGTTAGGCCAGTCCGCGCGATTTTCGTTGTCGAAAAGAAAAAAATGAACCGAGCACGAATCCGCGCGAAGTCTCCCACGATTCGGTGTCCGGCGAAGAAAGAAACGCCGCCTGTTTTCGTACCGATGGAACACGTTCTCCGCAGTCACTTCTCGTTTCTGCTTCACTGGGATCGGCAGGAAAGAAAACGAAAATGTGCTTCGCTTTCTCTGGCTTCTGCCGGGATAACACGTGTTCCAAGAAACTTCCGCGCCCCGTTAATCACAAGTGTGCCAGGCCCGTGCTTCTGTAATTTCGCCTCATTACCGGCCGCATGCTAACGATCGCGTCGATTGTACAAAAGACACGACGATGAACGCCGGAGATAGTAGGCTCGGTCTAAATGCCCGGAAAATTTATGCGGGATAGATCGAGGCGATTACACCGACCGCTCAGGAAATCCAAATAAATCGCGGTCGATCGCGGCGATCGGGCGCGCGATCCGCCGATAGAAAGTGGAGCGGCGCGGCGCGGCGCGGCGCGGAATCGATAGGAAAAATCGTCCGCCGGAAAAATCGTTGACAACGTACGGCCGGCGGAAAAGGAATTTTCGGAGGAAACGAACGCGTCCGCGGTTCCGTGATTCCCGGCGGTTGCCTCACACGCGCGCGCGCGCGCGTATATGTGTGCGTGCACAAGGCGCGCGCGGATCGATCGAAATTCAGATTTCTATCGCGCGATATCGTTCCGGTGCCGTGAATTGGATTTCGCAAAGGGGAAAGACGTGTAACAATGTAACGTTTAACGCAACCCGGCGTCTGGTTTTATCGGTTTTCGGCGCTCGCCGCGGAAAAAAAAGAGCGGGGAGAAACAATCGGGCCGACGACGACGGGAGAAATTCGCAGCGCGAAAAATGCCGCCGCGTTGCTGCACACTTTCCTCTCTGTTTTTTTTTTTTACAGGGAGCACGTTCCCGCGCGATATTATCTCCGACGCGGAACGTGCCGATTTCGAAAAACGACAGCGTAGTTTTCGACGGAATTTCGGATCTCAGTTTCGCGCAACTTTGTTCGCAGATCGAGAGCGAACGGATGGCGCTGAGTATAGTTTTGGCGTGCGCCGCGATGGCTGCAGCCGGGGTGGACGCCATAGCGACGGCATGGCGACCATCGTTGCCGCAGCCGTCACCCAGCATCCTCTATCAGGACTACGAATCGCCGCCGAGTCAGGTGCTGTTCGAATTCGACGGCTCGCCGTTGCTGACGGAGGAGCGGGACAAATGTGCCATCTACAAGGTCACCATGCGGCAACAATTGTACTTCGAGGTATTTCCCATGATCTTTTCAGAAGCAATCACCCGAGCAACGTCGCTTTTTATCGGCGCGAAAAAAAGCTAACGTTCGATCGTTATGCATTGTTTGCATTTCCAATTTCCCCGGTCTAACGAGCACGCCTCCACAAAGATGCCGGCGTGATTCATCGAAAAGCGCGCGGTTTTCGAAAAAGAAATATGCAACGCTTGTGAAACATCGCGGAATCTAGGGGGAAGGAAGGGGATCGGTTTTCTCACACGCCGGGGACAGGAAAAAGCCCGGACAAAAGACGGCGTGACGAAAGACGTTCGGGCGACAGGTGTTCGATGGCCGAGGATAACGGGAATCCGCTGCTCGCCGCGGATTCTTTCCGCTCCTCGTCGGAATTCTCCGGCTCGCGTGCCTCCGACACCGGCTTCACGGTCGAGAGCGGCCGGCCGCGAGCAAAATGACACGGATCGCGACGGCAACGAAAGTAGGAGAAAACGGTGCTCGACTTCCCGTGCGTGCCCTCGCGGATAACCGACGACGACCCACTTCGCGATCCTCCTCGGATCAAGGCCAAAGGGAACTTTAACTCCGAGGCGAACCATTTTCTTGGACCACCCGGTGTATAGGTTCCAGTTAACGCGCATCGTCGAAGGTGCATTGTACGATCGAATTACATCGGGACGAAGTTTGTCCAGATCTGAAGTGGAGACGCAGCTTAAGGTTCTCTGTTTTGTTGCTTTCTTCGAGGCAACACAATTTTCCGGTTGATTTGATTAAAAATTTAATTAGAGGTTAGTTTTACGGAAAATTTAATTGGAAGTTAGTTTTATGAAAAATTTCATTTTAATTGGTCACGCGGGGGTAATGCGAGTTAAATGAATTTTTATTATCAAAGTAAATAATAGTATAGGTTTGTTATAAAACCTGATTGAAGAGTGAAGAGTAATTATTGCTGGGTAAATAGAATTTTTAATGGGGTGACACTGGTGTGTCACAGCATCGGTGGTACAACCGAGAAGGGGGTAATTCTACATGAAAAAACAAATCGAAAATAAGGAATAGAGTTTTGATCTATGGACCTCGAAAGAAGTCGTATGTCACTTGTAAATAGTACTAATATAATTAGCAACAACATGATGTACTGTATTACTAATTTTCGTCAATGGATTTAAATGAAAATAAGACATGTAATTTAGTCACTAACTACTGCAAAAATTGTTAAAAGTGCTGAATATTCAAAGCAGATTTTCACAACGAAGCCTCAACTGGAAAAATGTTGTTCCTTATTTTCGGTTTGATCTTTTAAATAGAATCACCCCCTCCACGACTGCACCACCATTGCCGGACACCCTGTGTATGGCCAAATTAATTCGGAAAAAGCTCTGTCCAGATCCAAAATGTAACCGAAGCCCAAAGTTCTCTGTTCTGTCAATTCTTCCACGCCACCAGGTGCGCGAATCGAACCACGAGCCGCGTCAAAGTTGCATTGACCGACAAAACCGTTCGACGAATAACTTCGTCCAAATCAAAAGCGGATACGCGGCCTAAGGCTTGTTCCGTCCGGTCGGTTTTTACGGGGCCGCCCGGTCTGCAGTTTTCCAGCCTTCGATCGATCCTCTCGAGAGGACATCGTCGCGTTTCACGGGACAATTAACGGCTGCAATCACGATTCGAAGCAATTTGCGATCGAGGTACTTCGCGTGATCTTCCGGGCCGTTGTTGCCGCTCGAGTGCGGCGCGGGGAGAGTGTATCGCGTCCTTTCACGGGGCGAACGATTCCAGGCGTTTCCGGTTTCGCCGATCGATCGAGCGTTGCGTGACGCGTGCGTAACCACGGGTTAGGAAACCACGGTGAAGACCTTGCGTTGTTCGCGCCGGGGATCGACGGATCTCCGGCGAGATCGAGCGTTGCGCAACGGACCTAAACACGGAAGCTTGCCTATCTACAACCGGGGTGTTGTCCCCTCCAAATTCTACGCGGTGTTACGCCGCGTCTCCACTCGAGACCGGACTTTTACGATATTGAGCGATCGTTTTTCCGTGGAGCAGCTCTTATGGCGCGTCGCCATTTTCAGAGCAAATTTCCGGAGCTGCACACTCGAGGGTAGCTGTTACGCTGCATCTCCCCTCGAGAAGCATACTTTCACGAATTTCGAGGATTTATGCAAAATAAACATTTTCCGTGACGATGATAAAAAGCATGAATTAAATGTTGCGTTGAAAACAGTGTAATAATGTTGTGAAATTGATCTCATGTCTCAACAGTCTAGTTATGTAGAACAAATTTCAAGCTCTACTCGTGAGCTGTTGAATTTTATGCATTACGGTGATAATATTATGCGTTTTTGGGCGAAACATAGAATAGTGAAAAAATGAAAAGAAACTAAAAATATCGATGCGTCAACTTATGAAAATTATTTAGAAGAGAAACAAGATTGCGCCTGGCTCCTACGTCTTGCAATCGAGGCAGACGGTTTTTATTTTGCACAAAGACCAGCATTCTACTAATGAAAGTACGCGTTATGCTGCGTCTCCACTCGAGAGCAGACTTCCGCGAACTTCTTAAGACTCCATTACGCAGAGTGGACATTACAACGCGTCTCCACTCGAAGCTAGCCTGCTCCGAAAAGTCATAAGCTGCGTCTCCACACGACACTCTACTTCCAAGCAAAGAAACGACAAATTTATTCGCGAGAAGAGCTATAACGTTGCATCCCCAGACAAGCTCAGCATCTCGAAAGAGGTCTTAGGCTGCATCGCCACTCGACCCCGGGCTCCGAAAGCGACTTAACGTAAGAAACGAATGCACCAAGTGTAAAAGCAGCCTAACACGGGTGAGACTTGACCGTCCAACGTCGCCTAGGGTACAATCGCGTTACATGATACCAGACAGCTATTTAGTCACGAATCACTCGCAACTCAGAGTCGACAACTTTTTCTCCGCGGTGATCTCGATTCGAACGGCCGCCGTGCTCGACGGTGCGATGGCCAATTAACCGCGATGGTAGCGACCGGTTTCAGCTAACCGGGAAGAAGGTGACGCGCTGCGAAAGGGAATCGGCGCCACAGCAGCCGCCAGTCCGCCGCGCCTTTTCAGGCCGGCCCGTTCCCAACCGTGGAAAAGAACCACTCGAACAGAGGGAAAACACATAATCTCCGGATCGATCGGTTGCGTAGCTGAAGTAGATGCTAATTATCGCGGTATTGGATAATTGACAGGCCAGACGGCTTCCAGTGGTTTCGATCACCGTTGGATCACCGCTCTTACAGCTCTCGCGTCGGGATTAAACAACCGTGAACACCGAAATGCAAATATTCAGCGGCACGTTAGCGTTCACGGCTCCCTAGTAGAACGTCGCTCGGTCGATAGCCGTGTGTCCGCCAAGGGCGAATTCCAGCGAAATTTTTCGAGCCGCTGACAACGCGACGGGCTTCGCGACCACGAGGGTTGATCGACGAACAATATTTTTTTACTCTTCTTTCTGCGAGCAGTACATTCACTACAAGACGGACCTGCCCGACATGAAGGAGTTCACCCTATGCATGTGGACCAAGTTCTACAACCACACGAACGATCATCCGCTGTTCTCCTACGCAGGTGAGAATCGCGCCCGAATCCAGTTTTCGTTTCCCTTTCACCGGGTATCTCTCTCTCTCTCTCTCTTTCTCTCTCTGAAGCACGCGGGGACGACCGCGACGACGCGACGAAAGCAAAAGTCCGGCGAAATTAAAGTGGCCCCGCGGCTCGGTTTCATAACTAATCGTTGCGCCGCGGGCGTTATTAAGTAACCGTTTTATTTATTCAAAATTCCCGGCGATCGCGTAACCGTTCAACAAACGAGGATTTCCACCGGTGTCGGACTGTGGCCGTTCGTTTCCCTTCTAATACGACACCGGTATACGGGCGCGTTATTGAATATTGCGTCGGATTTCCGCGGGTCCGAGTTGACCCGGTCGTCGCCGGAGGAAACGGAAGCGACGAGCGTCGACAAGCTGCGAGCGTCGACGAGTCCGAGGAGTCGATACTAATCGCGCGAAACGTCGATTTTCGCATAAATTGCCGCGGGTCAACTTTGACCCGGCCGTCGCGCGGCGAAGAAAAGACGCTTTACCAACGAACGGATCGATCGGTAAAATCGAAAAATTCCGGCGATGTCCCGGTCGACGGACAGAGGCAATTAATACGACCGTTTTCCGCGTCGCCGAGTCGACAACGGTGTCGTTGATCCGAGGCTCGTTTACGCCGCAGTGGGTGACCAACCGCGGGGCATCCTGGTCTGGGTGGCGAACACCGCGAGAAGCTCCTACTTCATGATGAACGTGGACGGGCACAACTTGTTCAGATTGAATTATCCGCTGCGATTGAACAAGTGGTATCACTCCTGCCAAAGCTGGAACGGCCGGACCGGGGAGTGGCAGATCTGGGTCAACGACGAGCGCGTGGGTCGCGGGTTCAACAACAGGGTGAGTGATCGCCGATTGCCCGATCGGTTTTCGCCTTGAAAAAGTCCGCCGCGGCGCGATTACTTTCCCAAAGCTTTGCCTGGGAAAATTTAATAATGTCGTTAAGCGCGCGCACACGGCCACCGCCACCTTGGTCAATTAGAATGGCCGGCTGACCGTGAAAGTAACCGTTGGCATTCTCTCGGACGTGCGCGAGAAAAAATATACACGGCGGCTAGTTCCGCCGGTAAAAGGATTGGAATGGAATCGCCAGGGCGTTCGGAATTCTCCGGCTCTTACACCCGGCCGTGCTCCGAAAACAAAGCAACAATATCCCGGGAAACTGATTTGCAATGTTCCTCTTCCGCGTTTCAGGCTCGAACGCGATGCCGAAGGATAATCGATAATTGCGAAAATGTGGCTTTCGCGAGATTTGATTGGATTAGCTTCCGTTTGCGTGTGTTGGTCTCGTTCGGAAACCGCCTATGTTGCATTTGGTCTGCGAATACCTATTCTAAACCCCGAGCTAAATTGATAGCAGTGTCAAAGGACTACATTTTCTGAACGAATATACCAAACGCAAGCTATCCAGGTTTGCGCAAACTTGTTTAAACATTGTCAAATGATCCTAGGATTTACCTTACGCAGCGATTTAGACTCTGGTATTCCCCGTGCGGATACGAACGTCGGTAAGACGCGACTGCAGACACGGTAGCTTGATCTCAAACGCACGCAAACATTAGAGAACGATCGACGCGCGTGCCAAGAGCGTTGACGAGAAACTGATCAGCTTGTCCGAGCGTTTGATGGCCCCGACCCTAAGGACCGTGTCGAACCTGTTTATTAGGGGATCAGCGAGAGAGCTTCTATTGTCACCGTCCCCTCGGCCAGGGGTGGCCGGCATAATAAAATTTTTCCATAAATTTTCTCGAGCCGGATCGGCCCCTCTTTACGAGAACAATTAACCGTGTCCAGCCGCGATCGATAGAACCTGATGAGATCTTTCTTTCGTGACAGTTGGTGGGTCACGTGATCAAAGGGGGTGGAATAGCGATCACGGGACAAGAGCAGCGACAGCTGGGCGGCGGTTTCCTCGAGGGCGAGGGTGCGCCCAAAGGTGAGTAAAACCGGCTCCTTTTTTTCTTTGCATCGTAAGAACCAGACGACCTTTCTGAATCACTGTTATTTCAGGGTCTGGCGGTTATCTCGGCGAGGTGACGATGGTGCAATTATACGGGGTCGCGTTGACCGCCGGGAAGGCTCACAAGGACCACAAACACCATCACGCCCACCACTACGAGCACGACACGACCAACAACACGCCGAGGCCGACACCACGTCCACCAGTGACCGGCCCACCCCTTCCGCAGAACCCCTTCCTAACTGCAGGACAAATCAACACACAGGTGAGAGACTGAAACCTCGCGGCTTCCCGCAAGGAATTCGTTCGACTTCTGGCAATCTTTCAGGTGAAGATCAACCCAGGTTCCCCGCTGCAGATCGTCCAGGGCGGGGTCACCCTGCGGCACCCAGCCCTGGCCCCAAGGCAGCCACCTCCACAGCCGTTGCCCCCAATTAATTCGGAAGCCGTCATGCCGACGGCGTACCCACTCCAGATCACACAACTATTCGGCAACCAGCAACTGTCCTCGGCTAACGGAATCCCCGGGTCAGGGGTCAGTTTCGCCGACGGGTCCTATCGCAATCTGTTCAAACGCGAAGACGAAATGTCCGTCAGTTCCGACGAAGAGCCGAAGGACGAGGGCCTGGAGGAGGATGCTGGGGAGATCAAGAAGAGAAAAAGAGACGCCGCTGAGGCCTCCGAGGGCGAGCACGTAGACGACAAGGTAGGGATTCGCAGTCAGCTATGCTAGAATAGGGTATGCCGACCCTAATTTAGGACGTTAGAACGACCCTAACTTATTCGTTAACTTAGGACAGGTGTCTACCTAAGAGTGCAACTGTGATAGCACTAGTCCAGGCTACCCCCTGAAGACGACAATAGCTAACCCATCTCGTTCCAGGTGACATTCGTGTCGAAAGAAGACTCCGAGGATAAGAAGCTAGAGAAGCGAGAGTCCGACAAGAAGAAGAGGGGACTGGTTCAGCTGGCCGATGACCTGATCGTAGACGACGGCTACATCTCCCAGGGTCTGGACAACGAGTATTTCTCCGGGCTGGCGAACTTCGGCCTGCAACTGCCCAAGTACGAGAACAAGGACGACGAGAGGGAGCCTGCGGAGGCCGAGGTGAAGATGGTCATGGACATCTGCAGCGGGTGCGACGAGGAACCGTTCAGAAAAGCATTGATCATGGCCTGGAGGTCCGTGCCGAAGAAACTGTACTCCGGCGCGCTCCACGTCCCCGCTGTGCCGGCTTGCAAGGCGTTCTAGACACCGATCAGAGTCATCAGGACCTGGTCCAGGGTTTCCGAGAAGAGTCTAACGAGTTCTGTGATCGAACGCTGACCGCAGGAGTTCAGCGGGCCATTGCAGAGACCGGTTAAGGCGCCAGTCTAGTACATATATACACTCCAAGATGAGTCTGCTGAGTCCAACAGCGAGGACTGATAACCTCGAACCGACCGCGGAGATCAACGCGTTGCGCTTCAACGACCAACAGCAAATTGTATTTATTGTAGCGTAAGTGCGGACCACTGGTTGTATCGTTGAGTGACAGTATTACGCGGCTGACGAGAATAAATTCCTTTTGTAAACGAGTCGTCGCTGCGCTCACCTTGCTCTTGTGGATGTGCTGGTGCTGGTACTCGCTGTCGAACTCCGGCTCGCTGAAGTAGCTCTGATCCTCCCAGTGCGGCGGCAGCCCTGATCCGCCGCTGGGTATTCCCAGCGGGCCCGGCATCCCGGTCACGCCGTCCGAGCTCTCGAACAGTCTCAGCACGCTGCGATCCCGTATGTCTCGCAGATGAGATCTGAAATTGAGACCGACCAACGGGTTGGTAACGTAGACTCCGACGGAATTCTCCGTGTTTACCGGAGAGCTTCGTCGCCCCCGGATTACCGATCGCGGCGAACCCTGATCCGGGGAGCCACGAATCCCTGCCAGGACTCCAGCGAACTGTTCCAATTTTCTCTAGATGTCTTATTTCTTCGGTTCAGCTATTAGGATACGTTCGGAATTGAATTTCTACCATGGTTGCGAGACCAAAGGCCATCGCATCAGAAGAAAAAGACAATACAGTAATTTCTCCCTAATTCGCTCTCAGATTGTCCACAGACAATTACTGTATATGTGAATAAAAATGGACAATTTAGGAAGAGGAGATATAATTATTCTAAAATTCTTCATATTTTTGTTTAAAAACCGAGAGACGATTTGAAATAATTTATTGTATAAGCTAAAAAGTGTCGAAGGGCGCCGAATGATTCTCAGTTCGCTTTCAGCTCCGGATTAGGGTTCGACGGTACAGTCCTTTCTCTAACATTGCCGCCCTCAGCTTGAAAACGAAAATGGACAACTTGGTTAGAGGAGATACGATTATTCGAGCCTCGCGGTTCGTTTTTACAGTCGCCGATTATCAGCAACCATAGAACCGAGTCGCGAGACTCTTGTAACCTTAGCTCCTCCTCCCAAGTTTTCCACTTTCGTTTCCAAGCCAGAGGACAATGTGAGAGAAATGACTGGAATCCTGGCAGGCAGAGAATTAACGCGACGTTTCTGTTGGTAGTTACCTGAGGTCCTCGAGCTCGTAGAACATGTCCTTGTTGCTGTCGTGTATATAAACTTTGACATGAGGACTATCTAGGTATTCCATCGTGAGTTGCTTCGGAAAGCTTCTGACAAATAGCGCCTTGACCGTGTCTATGCTCGTGATTTCGTTCGGCAGGAGCGCCCGCTTCGTCTCGTTCCTATACTGCAGGAACACTAGACCTAAGGAATCGTCCACAGAAACGCATCGTGTCGTCAGGCATGTCCGACAAGAGGTTCGAGCGGGGAGGCAGCAACAAGGCGATCCTAATGCTAGAGCGGTTGGTGTGTTACCTAATGGTCGCTCCAAAGTCTTGCTGGGGGTCCGTACGACGGGGAGGCTGCTTCTCTGTTTGCCACCCCGTCTAAATCCGGTGCTCGATGTCTCCACCTCGGACATGATGCCCGGGTCGTCATCGAACAACATCGCCGAATTGGGAGGCGGGAAACCGCGCGGAAGAGGCGACTGAAAAGACAATTGCGAACGCCAGTCAGTAAACTGCTCCGTCGACAATCCGTCGTCAACGTCGGCTGGAAAGTTCTCCCCCCCTCTCCCGTTCGTCGAACTTTCCAGCCCGAGTTGCTCCTTAAATCGCAGCGATGCCTCTCTACAAGCGCGCGAACGGGACCCTCGGTGATCCCTTGGAAAAGCACGGGACCTAAATCGGTCTCTGCGTGTGCCAGTTAGGCGTCAACAGTTCTGTGGACATGTAGCGAGGCATCCTGGGCTCCGAGTGAAAAGTAAAATGGCGGTCACATCGAGACGTACGAAAGACAGTGGTCATGCATCGGACACACGTTGATCGAGAACGAAAAAAAGAGACGATTTGAAAGAAAAAAATAGGACAGTAGAGTGTGCTTTACCTTTCTCTGGCGAGACTTGGTCCCCATCTGTTTACCGGCGGCGGGTACACGGAAACACACACACAAGTAAACCAGTTAGATAAATGTATATGTATATGCGTGTATATGCATCGAGCAGAAAAAAGAGAGTGGGAGGGTCACGCTGGCTGTTAGAGGGGGGGCGTGGCGTTCGATCCGGCATCGTGGGCTGGTCTCGTCGTCCGCTCGCTGGCGGGACCCAGTTGTTGGGTCCGAGAGTCCTGCAAAGAATCTCCCACGACCAGCAATCTTGTCGATCCGATCCTGGATCCTCCTCGCGCGATCCATGGATCCTTCTCGCGGGACAAATCGTTGCGACAAGGTTGCGGGTCGCGTTATCGGGCGAGTAGGCGTGGCCACGGTGCTCGCGCGGCCACTCGGGACAGGGGCGGGAGGTAAAATCGAGCAGTATTAAGAAAAACATCCGTGGAGGGGGGACAGATCGAGCAGGAGGGCGTGTCGGTGTACATTGATCACCAATTGTCGCACACGGAAGCCTCGGTGAACAATTTTTTTTTGGAGACGACTCGGCCCCTCCGTGTGCGGCAACGCTATAGAATGCAAATTTTGGAAAAAGCGGCGTCGCGGAATGCAGAGGCTGACGTGTCCGCGGCCCGGCCCGGCCCGCCCACCGGCGCGCAAACAGCCCCACCCACCGCCGTGGATAACGAGCTATCTCGCTGAACCTCCGAAATAGTTCGACCGTTCGCAAATATTTGCCGGCGTGCTCGCGACGTGAAATATGTACCGTGGCCCTCTTCGGCCACTGTTTGCACAGAATTACTCGGGAACGATTATTCAAATAACATATTAACCCAGATCGGCGGAACCGATTTCGCATCGACGCGAACGGACGGCGACCTCGCCTAAGCGAAACATCCTAATAATTTTTATGGCAATCCGTTTGGCGATCCTCCTCGTGAAAATCGTGGACAGACGCGAGTTTCAATCGAGCCACGATCGGCCGCTAATTATTATCCGGAGAATGCAATTAAGTTTCATTCGACGCAGCAGCCAATTAGGGCCCCGGGGCAGGTCTTAACGCGGTTTCGTTCGGAGCAGCGCGCTTTCAACGGAGATAATACCGCGGGGAGGAAGATCAGGTAGAAAAGCGAGATGAAAGGCAGCTCGAGTAGGCGAGTAACCGTGAACAGCGCGGTGTAGGTGGACACGCGGCTTAATTAACCTCTTCCCTTCTGAACGACCGGTTCTTGACCTCGGAACACGTCCGTTAAAGCCGCTCGCCGACGCCGACGCTGACGCGGTCGCCGGATGCCAAGATCAGCGCACGCGATCCGCTAATTTGTATTACCGTCGCGGCGCGCGCGATGCATTTGCTTTTTCCTACGCTCCCTTTCTCTCTCTTTCTCTCCCTCGACAACGAGATTTACGGTCGGCTTTTCCCGACCGTCCTCGGGCCGCCGCCATCTTTTCCTCGCGATTCCCACGGGTCGCCGGGATTCCGTTCCGACCGTTCGCAGCCCCTGCGGTTCCGCGGACGCCGGGGACCAGACCAAGGGGCAAGTGAGAGATAAAACCACCTGGAAGAACGCAGCCTCGTCTCGATGATTCTGGGTCAGGTTAAAATAGACGTTGCGGTCGCCCTGCACAGTTAACCGACGGCCACCGCACCGGCGCGATCGATCGGAAATCGCGTCGCCAATCCGAATCTTTTACGGTGTACTCGTGCAATTCAAATTCCCCGCCCGGCGGGACAGTTACTCGAGCAACGATCGATCGTTCGCGCCGTGAACACGAAGGAAAATGCAAGAAAGACGATTTTCTTTTCAGTAACTTCCGTCCCACTTTTGCAACTGTTGCGCCAATGGATAGCTGAGATTCTTCCGGCTGAAACGAGTCCAAACACGATGCGAATAGGACCACGTTTACCGAAGAGCTTATTATTATACAGGATGGGTCACGTAACTCGCACTTCTCGGACTAACTTTTAATTAGACGAGTTCGAGAACTTGGTAACCTTTCCATTCACAGGAAACTCTACTTGCCGTTGAGGTCACGTATTTAACAATTTTTCGTAGAAAGCACCGATTGAAAGTTGTTCGAGGTATGCGGGTTACTCGACCCACCCGGTAGATTGATCATCAGTTAAACTGGTCCGATTTACGTCGTGTTTGGGTTGGTTTTAATCAGGAGAATCTCAGCTGTTCATTGATGCTACAATGGTAAAAGTAAAGTCAGAATTACAGAAAATGAAATTGTCTTTGTCGCTAGTTCGTTTCTGTGGCTGCAAGGAAGAACGGCGCGTGTCACATGTTTCCACGTTCGAGACATTACGGATACGGTACCTTGGGTTGCCACCTTTCGAACATCGGATTAATGTAAAAATGGTAAAGAATCGATCTCACATTTTTTAATGGATTCTATGTTCTTTTTTCGCCGACTTTCGTACTTGTTTCCCTTTGAACGAGATAAACACACGTGGCGAACTGATGAAAGCGAATCTTCACTATCGTACGCTCTTACAATTTTGCACAAATTCTTAATGCAAATATACAACTAATATGTCGATATGCATAAATGCTTATACTTATAAATAAAGGTACATTATCTTTGTTTCATTTTGCACTGCATAATATCTTGTCTCGTTTTAGGGAATCAAGCCGACTAATCTGCGCGTAATTAATTTTTCAGTTATCGTATAATTAATGGAACGCGTGAAACTCCGGCTTCCCGATAGGCCGGTCGAGATCGATACCTGCACCGGCTTTAAGGCGAAAATTCCAGCCGGGCCGGTCGAATTCCGGCCGGATGGCAACCCTAACCGTACCCGTTGCACCTTCGCGAATAATTTGCCGAGCCGGCCGAGCATTTCTCCGCAGAATAATCGAGACCCCGGTGAAATATGCCAGTGAAAGACCATTCTGAACGTGGGGTAGCAGTCCTGGGATTGGTCGGGGTAGTAGAGAAAATCAAAACAGATTAGAAACAGAGAGAACGTCAGAAAAGGGCGTGTGAGAGAGCGTAAATAGTAAAGAGATAGTGTTGAATGTCTGTATTTACATGTTGCGGGAGCAAAGATTCACCTCGAGATCCATGGTTGTGTGGAGCGTGGGCGGCGTGCCGTACTGGCCGTGTGGCGGCGGCAGATGATGGGGATGAAGGGGGTGCAGCTGCTGGGCCGCGTTGAACTGCTGATGATGCAGGGAGGGCTGGTGATCGCCGCCGAGGGTGTGCCTCCTCGGCTCGTCCCTCGACCGGCCCCCACCCCCGGACCCGCTCCTGCCGCCCCCGCCGACGCTGCCGCCGCCTCCTCCGACCCCCAATATGCTTCCTCCTCCGCCGCCCCCTCCGCTGCCCACGTTGCCGCCACCGCCACCACCGCCTCTTCTACCACTCGGTATTTCGTTCGAGCCTGCCTCACCCTCCCCCCTGCCGGACCCACCTGCAAAACAAATGGAGACGCACCTTTAATCACGGCCCTTGATCCTCACGCGCCGGCCAATTACGCTGGCCATCCGCTCGCGAGACTTTAACGGGACGGACGCGCGACGAACGCCGGCTTCATTCGCGCATTTTGTATCATTTTATTCACCGGAACTGTGCCCGTCGGAAGCACCGCGACTTTCTTTTAATCCATTCGCGAGTTATCTCGCGGTGGACGCCCACCACGATGCGTCTGTCAAAGGCTCATTGTTGACAAGAAAAAAGAGCGATTTATTTAATATTTTTCACTTATTATTGTTTTTTACTCTTTATTGTTTTTTGCTGATTATTACTTATTATTCGCTATTAGCTTTTACTCGTTATTATTTTTTACTTATTATTGTTTTCTTAGTCGTTAATATTTTTTACTTATTATTGTTTTCTTAGTCGTTAATATTTTTTACTTATTATTGTTTCCTTACTCATTGTTATTTTTTACTTATTATTGTTTTCTTATTCATTATTATTTTTATTACTTATTATTCGTTATTATATTTATTATTACTTATTACTGTTTTCTTATTCATTATTATTATTATTATTATTACTTATTATTCGTTCTTCGTTTTTACTCGTTATTAGTTTTTACTTATTATTGTTTCCTTACTCGTTATTAATTTCTACTTCCTATCGTTTCCATACACATTATTATTTTTTACTTATTATTGTTTCCTCCCTCGTTATTATTCTTCACTCATCATTATTTATTTATTTGAAAGCAAAGAAATATTAGCGTCCAGAACAGATTTCCACAAAACAGGTTTGACGGTGTTCAATGCGTTGATTAATCATTTTTCAACGGACTTTCGCGAAATCCAAATCATTCGATTATCAAAGAACTATTAGATAAAGGGTTGCGCTGCTTTTCCACCCGGATGACGTTTATACGAGGGGTGGAGCTTTCAGCGGCCGATGTTTTCGAGGCTGTTCCGGGGCCGTAGAAATAATTAGATTCGTTCGAGGAATTTCATGGTGAAAAGGGTTTTGTGCGGCGTCCGAATACCGGGGGCTGGCTNATTATTGTTTTCTTAGTCGTTAATATTTTTTACTTATTATTGTTTCCTTACTCATTGTTATTTTTTACTTATTATTGTTTTCTTATTCATTATTATTTTTATTACTTATTATTCGTTATTATATTTATTATTACTTATTACTGTTTTCTTATTCATTATTATTATTATTATTATTACTTATTATTCGTTCTTCGTTTTTACTCGTTATTAGTTTTTACTTATTATTGTTTCCTTACTCGTTATTAATTTCTACTTCCTATCGTTTCCATACACATTATTATTTTTTACTTATTATTGTTTCCTCCCTCGTTATTATTCTTCACTCATCATTATTTATTTATTTGAAAGCAAAGAAATATTAGCGTCCAGAACAGATTTCCACAAAACAGGTTTGACGGTGTTCAATGCGTTGATTAATCATTTTTCAACGGACTTTCGCGAAATCCAAATCATTCGATTATCAAAGAACTATTAGATAAAGGGTTGCGCTGCTTTTCCACCCGGATGACGTTTATACGAGGGGTGGAGCTTTCAGCGGCCGATGTTTTCGAGGCTGTTCCGGGGCCGTAGAAATAATTAGATTCGTTCGAGGAATTTCATGGTGAAAAGGGTTTTGTGCGGCGTCCGAATACCGGGGGCTGGCTGATGGACGAGCAGCCACGGGGTTCGATGATCCTCCACTCGGATGGATTTCTGATAATTAAGACCCGAAGCAGTCCAGCGCCTTCTCTCTCTCTCTTTCTCTCTCTCTCTCTCTCTCTCTCTCTCTCTCCCCGGTGCATCGACCCATTTGCCGGTAACTCGGCCGAGAATAACGGGTTCGTGGAAAACGCCGGAAATAGTTTCGAGTGCGGCACGTGTGCCAGCCAGCGATTTGCCCGATACATTTCCACGAACCGGAAGCGAAGGACGCCTTCTAAGAGCGGTGCCCCGCGCTGCTTACAAAACAGCCGACCGTGGAGATATGTATTACTCGAGAAGAATTACGGTAACGCTTCGATCATTGTTCCCCGTTCAATCTTAATCTTGTCGATTGCCACCCCGACTGGGACATTCTAAGATTCTGGGATATTGTCGGTCTTACGTGTTCCTCGAGAATAATTACAGTAAAGACTCGTTTGAAGAAATCTGTTCTGGACGCCAACATTTCTGATAAATAAATAAATAATAATAAGTGGGAAATATAATAAATAAATAGATCANTTGTTTTTAAACAAATAAATAGTAATAAACAAAACGGAATAACTAGTAAGAAATTAGAATGATTAGAAAATAATAATAAGTAAAGAATAATAAATAAATCCTTTCGTTTCGTTAGTAATAAACCTTTAAAATCTGACTGAAGAGTCGAGGTTATTATATATAAATTAAATAAATGTATAAATTACTAATAATTATAATTACAGTATCATATATGAATGTAATATATTTATAATAATATTTAATATAATATAATTAAATATATATTATAATATTATAATATAATATATTTATAATAATGTTTAATATAACATAATTAAATATATATTATAATATAATATATTTATAATAATGTTTAATATAACATAATTAAATATATATTATAATATAATATATTTATAATAATGTTTAATATAACATAATTAAATATATATTATAATATAATATATTTATAATAATGTTTAATATAACATAATTAAATATATATTATAATATAATATATTTATAATAATGTTTAATATAACATAATTAAATATATATTATAATATAATATATTTATAATAATGTTTAATATAACATAATTAAATATATATTATAATATAATATATTTATAATAATGTTTAATATAACATAATTAAATATATATTATAATATAATATATTTATAATAATGTTTAATATAACATAATTAAATATATATTATAATATAATATATTTATAATAATGTTTAATATAACATAATTAAATATATATTATAATATAATATATTTATAATAATGTTTAATATAACATAATTAAATATATATTATAATATAATATATTTATAATAATGTTTNTATAATGTAATTAAATATATATTATAATATTATAATATAATATATTTAATATAATATGATTTATAATAATATTATGATAATTATGATTAATTATATTTATTATATACAATTAGTACATAAATGATTATAAATTTTATATATAATTTAATAAATATAAAAAAATAAATGATTACATATAAAATATGCAGAGAAATATTATATAACGTATAACCTGCAAATTACACACGGAATCGGGAATCAGGCGACCAAATTCGTGTTCCTCGAAAATAACCACATAAAAACCTTGATCATTGTTCCCACTGAACTCGAATCTTGCCTATTGCCTTACGACATCGGCCATCCACTACCTAACCTCTATGTTCCTCGAAAATAATTACAGTAAAGCCTCGGTTGTTGTTCCAATTAAATTCGAACCGTTCGAATGGGTCTGAGGTTCTGCCGATACATGCAGGATAATCAGGAAATTACGCACGGAATTGGAAATCGTACGGAATGCGAGCGTCTCTGATCCATTATCGGGGCAGGCCAGCGTTTCGCGTGGATGCGCCGGCGACGCACAGCGTACGGGATTCAGATGGCACGCGACCGGTGCGTGGAAGCTGCGATTAATCGGAACGACGACGACGACGACGACGACGACGACGGCAACGAAGACGGAGGCTCGCGAGTCGAAAGTAGGTCGGGCGCGGCCGTCGCGGCCGTCAACGTCGACGTCGACGCCGACGTCGGCCGTCCAATTAATGACGAGCCTCGGATTCCGGCGCACAGGCTGGCGCGCGTACGCTCCGGCTCCGATCCGCAGCCGTCCCGCGAGCCGAGGCTTATTGACGATCAGCGTCTCGTGTAATTGGCGTATGTGGCCTCGCGTTCCGAGATCCGCCGAGCGATCAAGAATCCGGGCCTCTTCATTCCGACGCGCCTATTCTCACCGAAAATTCGACTGGTCATGCGTGAATCTGGGATCGCGACACGGTTTTCACAGAGATCGGAAGCAAGAAATGCAGGCCCGAGATTGTTCAACTTCTCTTGGATAGCTCGACTTTTTTCTGCGAATTCACACGATTCTGGCGTAATCTGCGATCTTTCAGCTTTAATTCGAGCTACAATACGTTGAAATATTCCCGCGGGAAGATATCCTAAAATTGATTTCAACGTGATACTCTTAATACTCGGACGTTTTTAATTAGTGGACGAAATTCTTCGATTTCTTTACGATATCAAATTTTTCATTGGAATCGAGAAGACTCTGCCTTAAAGCGCACTTCTTCAGCTTTAATCCGAGCCATGAAATTGTAAAAATTTCTCAAGGGAACGCAACTTAAAGTTGACCTAAATGTATCCCGCAAAGTTGGCGCCCGTGTTCGATGCAGCAAAGGGAAGAAACCGAATTTTCGCTATGATCTAAAATTTTTCACTTGGACCGAAGTTTACGCGGGCTTAAACTACATTGAACCAGCTTTAATGTGAGTTCAATAAAGTTCGGAAATTCCTACGGGGACATAACTTTCTGGTCTAAAGTTGTCCCATGAAATCGGCAGATTTTTCTGCGAGACGGTTTCCGGGATTTTACAATTTTCCGAAATGATCCCGCGATTGTTTTTTAATCTACTCTACCACATCTTAATGCGGAGATTTCTGGCTTCAATTTAAGCTGAATTCTATTTAAAAAGTCTCGCGGTAATACAACTTAAATTCGACCCAAAGTTTTCCTTTAAAACGAGTCAGTTTTTCTTAAAGACGGCGGTCAAGATTCTTCGAGTTTTCAAAATGACGTCGTGCTTCTTTTTTAATCCAGTCTACCCTATCTTAAACCACACACTTCAAGCTTTATTTCAAGCTAAGTCACACTAAAAATAACCTACGAGAATCTATCTCAAAACCGATCAAAGTTTTCCCATAAAATCGTGT